AGAGAGGTGGCTGAGTCACCATTCCTGGATGTGTTTAAAAACTATTTGGTTGTGGTGCTCAGAGACATGATTTAGCAGAGGGTTGTTGAAGTTAGGGTAGTGTGATTAGGTTGAGGTTGAACTTGATGATCTTCAGGGTCTCTTCTAACCTGAGCAATTCTATGATTTTTATGAAGATGTGCAGTTTCTAGTGAACTGCGAATGGCTGAGAGGCTTTCATGAGCGTCAGTATGGTCACTGAGGAAGCTGCAAGGAAGGAAGCTAACATGTTAGTGTTAAAGTGGGAACAGCCTACCATAAGCCTATTGGATCTTTGTTCCTGGAAAAATAGTGGGAGGCGTGATATGAGGACTGGAGGGATAGCACTTGAAAAATAATGTGTCAACAGACAATCGAATACAGCTTTCTGCCAATCTAACCTGAGGCCTTTGTGATCTTGTTATGGAAGGTGTCTAATAAAAAAAAAAATTCCCATATTATATTTGGACTTGTAGAGGGATGTTTTTCTTGGATGTCATGTGATACTTTTTCAGGAGATAGGAGAGATACAAAATCAGTATAGCATGTTAAAGTAAGCATGGCCAGCTGGCCTGCTTCAGCAGAATAGTAAGAAAACTATTCATCACAGAGTAATACTAGTAACACTAATGTTCCTTAATAGTAATAACAGGTAAAGGTTACAGCTTGCAGCAGGTCCTAGAAAGAGACTTGAAAGAAATAGATCAACAAAGTAATCAAGTGCTGCTTGGTTTTCCTATTCTCTATCCATCCACTGTGCTGTTACTTAAGGCAATGACAGCAGTTTCTGACAGTGATAAATGGAGTTTGAGGTTAGTTACATTTTTAAATCTTAAATAATGAAGTAAGTACATTCTAAAATGGCTTAAAGTGGTGTTAATTCGTTAGCACACTTACTCTATTAAGACTGGAGGGCATGGGAATGTAGTATCCACTTAGTGAGTGTGGTCATGAAAGCCTCTGGTGATGGTTTAGAAAGAGTGGCAGGATTTTAGATGCCTGTGTTAGGAAGCATGTACATTACTATGGTTACTGACTGTCAGATGTTTAATTTTGATAACAACACATCCAGTCTATTGACAGCAAGTAGAACCAGTTTTCTTCTCACTTTTTCTCCATCATCTCCATTCTGTCAGTTAATTCCATGTTGATTGGCTGAATTCATTAGTATGTCTTATTTTTAAATAGAAGGCATTTGGTATTGAAGTGGAAGAGTGGTAGTCATAGGATTGCTTTTAAAGCGTAGGTATCACCCAGAGCAGAGCAATTGTTCCATAAATTTCCTGTTACAACTTGTCAAAGGGTCTCACTTCAAAAACAATAATAATAATAATAAAAAACCTTAGTACCTACATTATTTTCAGCTGGGATGCTAGCTCAGTGCAGGCTCAGCTGAACTTGCTGTTAGCAGTTCATCTTAGTGACAAGGCTTCATTCTATCTATTGAAGGCTTTGTTTTCATGTTTCAGCATTTTTCCATTGTCTGCAACTGAGAGCAGATCATTCAAGCTCTTACATTTCCAGTGCTGTGGATACAAAGCAAAAAAGGCAGCTCTTGTTCAAAAGAGCTGCTTATCCTGGGTGTTTTGTTATTGTTGGGGTGAGCTTTGGATAGATGGACAACAGATGCTCTTTCAAGGGACAGGTTCTCGATATTCTTCAACTGTGTTTGTCACAGGAGGCTGTATTTGCTTGTAGCCTTCAAAATAAGGCAGTATGAAGCAGAGTGGGGACCAAAACCTTGGATTTTATTAACAGTAGTTGAAGCTCCTCAGGCTGTAGCTAGCTGTTGTCAGTAGGCAGCACATTAGCCCAATTGATTGGTGACAATTACAGAGACCACAAAGGAAAACCTGAAGCATGTTGTCCCCTAAGTCTTTATGCAACAATGGCTTATTGCAATGAGATTAAATTTATGGTAATGAGTACATTATTTGGAGGATGTGTTCCTTGTTTTTGATGACATGAAGCTGGGCGTTACTGTCAAAATGGTGGAGGGTTGGACTTTCCAGAAAAACAGGAAAATGCTGGTAATATGAACAGCATTAAGGAAAATGAATGCAGAGTCATGAACCTAGAGGTTTAATAATGAGCTTTCAGCTCATACCAGAAATTCTTATCCCTTTAAAGCTATGGAGACAGAGAAAACCTTAGAGTATTGGTTAATCATAAATTAGCTTTGGGCTGCTGGTCTGGTATGAAGTGTCTGAGTAAAAGGTAAGTGCAGTTCCAGAATGTTGTGCAGATGAATTCTTCAAGGGAGATGGGGAAATATTAAAGCAGTTATGCTTGTAAAACTGCACCTGGAATTGTCTTTACAATGCTGGTCACCCATGCCAGAAACATGAATTCAGCTGGGGCAGGTGCAGTGAGCGGCTGTGGGGATTAGCAGTGAGTAGTAAAATATAGAGGAGTAAACTGGAAGAGTTTGCCTTGTTTGTCCTAGTAGAATAAAGGCTAAGGAAGAATGCAACTGTGATTTATAAACACAATAGCAAATTAAACACAAGGAGTGAGAAGGCATATTTAAGCAGAAGAACAATATTGCCTTGAGCAAATAGGTGTGTGGCTCAGCTGCAGTCAGTTTTTAACAAAACATTCTGAATTGGAGAAAGAATCCAGAGTTCTCTATAGATGAGACAGATTTTAATACATTTATAGAGATGACTGCATGAAATTCTTACCCGTAAAGAGAGATCTGCCTCACAAGGTCCCTGCTGCGAGTTCCAAAGCTTTCTGTTGTTAATGTTTTTTGGTTAGGTAGATATTGTGTACCAGTCTCAGATAGTGGAACTCCTTTTTGAACTAAATACTTGCAAATGCAAGTCTGATCTTGGACTAAATCACACAGACTCTAGTCCAGAGAGGTATAACTCAAAAATGCACCCACCTTGAAAGATTTCAGCTTAGGAACATGAAAATGGGGAACCTCCTTCACCATAGTTTTGCTTCCTCGTCCCCAGTTGTGTGTGGCAGCCCCCTGGCTTCCCATTTGTTTCTCCAGGTGCCCTATGCTGCTGAGCTGAAGAATCCTTTTACTACTGTTCAACAGCAACCATGGGAGGATGCCCATGCTAGGTGGGGAAAAAGAGTCTTGTTTACAAAAAAAGAAAAAGTTTGCTTGGAATTCCTTAATTGCATCTAAAAATTAATCAGTCAAAGGAGTGGTAAACTGAGATAATAATGTTTTTCTTTTCATGCCTCTTTCTACATTGGTGTAATCAGATACCTTTCTCTTCAGTTGAGAGACAGAATCACAGAATTGTAGGGGTTGGAAGGGACCTCCAGAGATCATTGAGTTCAACCCCCCTGCCAAAGCAGGTTCCCTACACCAGACATAATGAAAAAAAAACCCAAACAAATGTAGGTTGCTCCTTTTTGCTTTTTTTTTCCTAACTACTTAGAGTACTGGGCAGGCTGATCTAGTGGTTGGCAACCCTGCCTGGGGCAGGGAGGGTTGGAACTAGATGATCATTAAAGTACTCTCCAACATAAGCCATCCTATGATTCTCTGGTAGTGTTCTGGTCACTGGTTTATATGGCAGTCAAACTTCATTTTAACCTTACTAGTCTCAGATTTTCAGACACACTCCCTGTACTTCTTTATTCTCTTCAGTTGCCTGTGTCCAGTGGTAACGCAACATTACAGCTCACACAGGAAATATACTCAGGGCACTGAAGGAAAACCCTGGGATGCCCCAGGCAGCAGTGCTGCTAGCCCATTTCCTATTGCCTTCCAGATAGACTAAGTCCTAGCTACATCTTAAAAGAAGTGAAAAAATGGCTAACAAACACTATGTAATGTGAGGTCACAGTAACTATTAAGTGACCTAGAAACTGAGAAATGTGATAATTGTGAACTAGCTGCACTCAGAAGTTTGCTTTGAATTTGCTCTCAGTGTGAGCCCATTAAGGAAGATGAGGAGAACACGTGCACAGAAAGTATATGAACTGCAACCCAGAATAAAGTTGTATTTAAAAACACCTTATAGCAAAAGGTCTTACTTTTCTGTTCAAATTAACTTCCCCTTTACATAATACCCTTACCATTTCCCAGTGCCTGGAGAAAGATTTCACACCCTCAACCATTTGAGCAGATTGCTTGTTTGTTAATGTTCTAGCTATTGTTTCCTTCTGGAAGCACTGGAATTATCCTCTAGCTACAAATCAGGGCTGCCTGTGTGATAGGGTTACACCTAGCTACCTGCTGTGGCTGTGTTACAATACCATAAAAGTTTCAACTCTATTATTTCTGTAAATTGTTTTTCAAGGCAACTGTACAAAATACTCATATGAACTTTTTTTTTTGTCTTTTTTCCCCCTAGACTTAATGTCTTGTGTTCTGAAATTGCTCTGCTTCTCTGAGAAAGGTTTTTGAGCTCTTAATAATCCATCATAGAAACTTTTGCTGTTTAAAATTCTGGAGCCATGACTTGGCACTAGGAGCAGCTGCACAAAGATCTGGTTGGAGATATCACTCACAATCCTTCTGCCATCTGAGTTAGGCCAGGCTGTCACACTACTTCAGGAACTCCTGAAGGGTTCAGAATCAACTGTAAGAGAGAATTTTCTAGCATGATGATATTACAATTCCCTTAGACACTCTTGCTTACATCCTGAAGTTGCTCAGCCACACTGATTCTTAAGCTCTAACCTCAGGCTTGGTGAGATTCCAGTATTAGGAAAGTGCAGGAAAGGCATCTGGTGCACGTGGTCCCCAAAACCACAAAACAGCAGGGGAGTAGGAGAGGGATAGAAGACTTGTCAGGGCTGCTTTCAACCTACTGACCCAGAAACTTATCAATCTAACCTGATGTTTTGTTTCCAGGTCTTGTTACTGTCTAATACAAAGGTGGGTCTCAATCACTAACGAAGTTATAAATGCCATGCTATTCAGGGCTGTAGGATAGATGTCTGTCTAGTTTGTATTTTACTGCATATTTCATTGCATAGTTATTCTACACCTTGAAATGTATTAACAGAAGAAATTCTGAAGAATTTGTGTCAGAACAATCATTTGCCTCTATCATCTGAATGCTCATTTGAAGGATACTGGAAACTGGATTCAGTGCTCTGCTTTACAAAGAAGTAGAGCAGGTATGAGACCAGTTTCCCTTCACCTACCCCTGCTTGGCAAATGTGCCTTTATCCAGGTTTTCCATCATATTTGTTTTAACAGCAGAGGAAGTCTGACGAGACAAATTGTCTAGCGTAAGTAGACGCTTTCCTCTGGGCCAGCAGTCAGTCCAGAACTAACTTCTGATGTAGAGAGCAATTTTCTATTTGCTTGTTCTCTTCCATAATACTCTAAAGCTCTTTATGCTCAAGGAATGCTCTCCCCAGTCAGGATTTTATCTCTCATCAAAACACCTTGATCCTTACTTTAAGAACTGCTAAGCAGGACCTGACTGCAAATCAAAAAAGTAGGGATTTCAAGGTAGATAGTGAATAATCATACTGACAGCTCTGGCTTGTAGGCAGCTAGAGCACAAGGCACACATGGCAACAGTATGATTAGAGCGTAACTAAATTATTAAACAAGACAGTAGTTAAAGTAAAGTAGTCTTTTGGGGCCACTATTTATCACCATTCACTAACAGTAAAACCAAGCACCCTGAAGACTGCTTTATACATACATCATAGCATAGCATCAGACTAAAACAAGGCATACCTTTTTATAATCCTTACAAAAACAAAATAAAATTAATTGTGCGGGACTTAATTGTGTGGGAAAGGTACTGGCATAGCTGCCATCGGGCTGTGGGAAATTCTTCATTTGTGATTTTTAGGAATGGTAATTCTTTTTTTTTTTTTACAGGTGACAGTATGGTCCAAGACATTAAACATTCAGGAAGATTCCACATGTTACTGTATCACAATAGTTTTCCCTCACCCTACACTCCTTATGTGTGCAAGCTGTAAACTGTGACTGAAAACAAATGATGTAAAATCACATCTACAAACTTAAAACTCCATACTTTTTCCAGCTTTAGAAAAACAGAAACTACAGCAATAACAACTGAGAGTTTGTTAGAGTGAGGATGGAGGGAGTTGTTGTTTGTTTGCTTTTAAAATCAACTATGTCTATGCTGTTTTCTTGATTTCATTTGTATTTACTTGTTGGCAAATGGACTCTCAATAACTTTGTTCCATTACAGCTTGTCTGGTTGTTTCCATTACCAAAGTCTATGTTCCAGAGAGAAATCAAGCTCCCTGGCAACCATGCAATTTTCACATGAAAATTCAGGTTAGTTCTTTAATGAGCCAGATACCTTACATGCCCTCTGGGGATGGAAAAAAGCAGCTTCACAGATGTAAGATAAATAACTTCAATCTGGTGTTTTTAATATCAGTAAGAAGTGGCTCTTAGTAAGATATACATGTTTACTTAATGATTTGCTTTGCCTTAATTAATAATGGAAAATTATTATTCCATCCTGCATAACAGCATATCATTGTCTTAAACTGCTGGTGTTTTTTTTTTCTTGCACAAGTACATTTTTAAACTATCCCAACAACCTTCCTGCTTTTGCTGACCAGCAAATCTGATACTATGAAAAAGAAGCAGATTTCTGATGCTGAAGGACACCGTTGTCATGTTTCTTCACTTCTTCTAGCTGAATCATTGGGAATTGTACTTGTTTTTCAAACCATTTGGCTACTGTGAGCAGCTGCTTCTCTTGGAATGAACGCCCAATGAACTGAAGCCCAATTGGCAAGCCTCTTCCTGAAAGAGCTGTAGGAACATTTACGGCTGGCAGTCCTGAAACAAAAGAAGTTATTCACACAAAGGCTTGCTATTAAACAAATCCAGTTAGAGTCATTTCTGTAACAATTCTGAGAGAACCAGAGCAGTTCAGTAGCATTTTAAAATCTACCCCTACATTATAAAGCATTTTACAAACGCTCACTGTACTTATGTATAGAGTTGTTAACTTTCTATTGTAAGTTAACAAGAGGGGGGAGGTATCTCAATTCTGTGTAAGAGGTTAAAAGGTTGAAGGGAATGGATGTTATAGGCAAGAGAAAACACAGCTGAACTCCTGCCCCTGCTCACCAGCCATGTTTGCAGCCTGTGTTAGGATGTCATCTTCCGTGCTGCGGGTTCTGTTGTCTTCTTTGATGAATTCCATATACGGGAGTGCATCGCTCAGAGTGGTAGGAGTGAGTAAAATATCAATACCACTTCCAAAAACCTTCACAAAGTCATTGGCAATGAGACGTCTGACTTTCTGTGCCTTGACAAAGTAATCCTCATAATTCCTAGAAAGAAATACGGGTGTGAGGGTGGAATGCTACGATTCTGAAAACACACAGCAATTGCTTAGTTACCATAGAAAAGATAAGCTCTATATTCCTCCTGATTAAGAGGCTAACATGTATTTGAGTTTCTCATATACCACAAGCTTAGTCACCAAACGCAGTGCTTACGCTCTCATAGCCACGAAGACGTCAGAGAAAGAAGACACAAGAAAATTCTGTTGAAGAAAGATGAAGAGAAAACAAAACCCAGTTTAAAATAGCTGAGGATCAGAATAATGCTATATGGCCTTTCTGGAACTAAACCGTATATTGGATTTCACTGCAGAAAGGCACAGTAAAGTCTAGAAATACTATAGAAGCAAAGCAGGTTTGCAAAATAGGCATTAAGCTCTAGGATTCAATCCAGCTAGACACTTAATGAGTGTGAAAAACTCCTGTAATCTCTGCAGACATCCAAATGGACTTAAAAGCAAGAATGTGTTTCTAGTATGCTTCTTACTAAACTATGCTCTTTCCTCTATTTTTTTTCCCCTATATTAGTGTTGGGTTTATGGCTTTCTAAACTGTCTTTATGCTATCCTGACGCAGAAACAAATCAGTTAGCTTTACATTTATTGTTCTTTTTAATTTCACAAGTAGAACTGGCAAACATGTAACAGAATTCATAACTTCAGAGTTTAGTTTCAAAACCAATCACCAACAGTTACTCTTTAAAAAAAAAATTAAAATACTGATAAATCAAACCTACTCTGTTAATTCTGATGCAATGACTACAAATAACCATCAATGCATGAATGATCACATAGTTATTTTATAAAAAGCAAGAACAAAATATTCTGTGAAATGCACTGTTTGCAGGAAACAGAGATGTTTGTACTTTGTCTCAAGAACGCTTGTAGAACCCTGGATTTTGTTCTTCCAAAGTAACTTACTGTTGCCAGAGACAGGACTCTCTTGTTGAGTCCTAATGGAACACAATCTTATGCTCCTTCACAAAAAAGTGAGCTGCATGAAATTTAAAGCAGTCTTTGGAAAGCTGACCTGGACAGTTGTGACCAGAACGAGCATACTTGGCAGGACTATTGGCATTCCATAAAAGCTGCTTCTTATCTACTGACAACATTCCTGTCTATGAGAGTAACTAGAAGTCACTTCTGATGAATGCTGTTGCTGAGAGAAGGAGCTTTGTCGTGCGCTTGTTTTGAGACAAATGACAGGACCAGTTTCTCTGTTAGTATCTAAACAAGTTAAGTATGACTCCTGCTTTCTCTATCATACTAGGATAGTAAATAAGGAGCAAAAAATGGAGATGAAAAAGTTAAATTCATTAGTTCAGGCACCTCTGCCTTCTCTCCACTGCATACTAAGGCAGAGATCTATAGTTAATTGAACCGTGTATCATCTGTCTTGCTCTAGAAGACCTCAGCAGAATGCACCAGCAATTTTTCTGTGCAGCTTTAATGAGACTAATACCTACAGAACTTACAATGTTACAAGAGAGATGGCTTTACTGTGATTCCAGTGTCTTCCTACAGGATATATTTTTCCTTATTTTAACTATTAGGTGACAACAATGCTCTGATGGGGAAAAAAAAATAATCACAAGGATGTTTTACTTAATTCAGAAGGCTCCCTGGGTAAGGAAAAACATTTTCATTCACTGCTAACAGTTCACTGGTTACTACATAGCTAAAGCAGTAATAACAATAGAAGTAGCTACTAGCTTGAGGACAATTCTTTTTCATGTCTTGAGGAACAATTCTTTTCTATTTGCTTAACAAATTATGAACTTAATAAAGTTGAGTTTGAAGCTGTGTTCCACTTACTGTTTCAACAAGAAGTAGTTTCCTGATAGAATTCTTCCTCTTACAACATCATTAAATCCTTCTCGTCGTGTTGCAGCATACATGCTTTCTGTGGACTTGTTCACGTCAGAACGATGTCCTGGAAGGAAAAGGCAATTTAGAAATAGTTTTTGTGATTCTTAAGATTCAATAACATAATGGTACACATCATAGTACAATAGGCTGCAGTTTGCAGCAGACTGATGTTCTGCTATTCTGGAAAAATCCACAAACCATATTCCTTCCACATTCCATTACAGAGAAGATTTTAAGCCCAGACACTCACATGTGCACGAGTGAAACACAATAAAATATTTATTTATTCAGCTCTTATGTGCACAAGGTTTTTATTCTACTCCAATCCAAAAGAACATCAAACATTCAACTATGAAACACATACTATCAAAACTGGTATTTCTTTATGCCACTTAGCAAGGTTTCTGTTGCCTGAGAACAACAAAAAATAATAATTTAAAAGGCCTTACCATATTCCAGTCCGTCAAACCTGGCCATATTTGATGCCACTTCTGCAGTGCAGAGCACATGATAGCAGACAATTGAGTAACGGGTGTGTGGTAAACTCACTTCAACTACTTTAGCACCTGCATTCTTAAAGAGGTCAGCAGCCTTTGACCAAACAGCCAGAATTTCACTAGAAAGCCCTGGTACCTGGTACTCCTTAGAGAAAAACAAGAATAAATGATGTTTACTTTTACTGGCCACCAACATATAAATACTATTTGCTAAAAATACTTTGAAACTATTAACACTGTGTGCTTTTAAATACTTACTGCAGCCTATCACATCTACTAAATATTATAAAAGCAAGCAATACTAAATAAACTCTGTCATCTGAAGAATATTATGATCACCTTAGCAAATTGTAACCCATAACACAATCCATAATGGAATTTCAGCAGTTTTCTTCTGGAGAAGTGCCCACTTGTTCATCTAGATATAGAGACCACACCGCATGGGGTAGAAGCTGTGCAAATGTAAGCCCTAATACTAGGGGTATTTTCAGCAGGGAATAAGCTATGCTCACAGCACATCAGCACCTACTAGCACACCTCAGCCAAACAAGCAACCCACCAGAGAACTACAATCACAAGGTTGGGACAGGACTGACTTAGACAAGCAACACTCTTGTTTTAAGATATTTGCTTCAGTTCAAGCTCAAAATATCTGGGTCAAAATACCATGTGATCTCTGAACAGCAACGACTCACACATATTATCATAATATATGCATTAACCTGTTTGGGTTAATCTGTAGCAGCAGAAAACAATTGTCCAAGGGATATGAATAATTTATCAATACTACTATTTTAGATTTATCAAAATCTAAACAGTATGCAGAAAATTAATTTTCTAGACATATTTTTCTTTCTTTTTTTTTTTGCATTTCACAGATTCTGAATAATTAACTGTCAGTGGGCATCTCTTCTTACAAAATTGAATCTTCTGGTTTACCTGTCCTGTCACAGGTTCAAGTACTGGGAATCAAACCAACAAATGTGACACACATTGTTTTTTTGAAGACAGAACCTTTACAAAACCATAAAAGGCAATTAAAAAATAGGCTGCAGCTCCAAATGTCATGCTTAAATTACAAGCATACTTACAAGAACGACTGAATTACGTGCATTACAAACCAAATTACTCGATGAAAACATTAGCAGCTATCGTGAAGTTTTCTTTCCATCCCTGTTTGAGCTCTGTGAGTCACAGCTCCTTGTGCCATTCAATTGCTTTTAAAATTATGCTGTATCACAGTGCCATTTAAACAAGGATTTCAACAAACTGTACAAGTAGTACTAGTACAACTAACCTCACTGTAAAAAGTCACTAAAAATAACTAGTATGAAGTTGTGGAGGTATCTGATGAAAAAGCCATAGAGAAGCAAGATCTGAAGCCCCTCATTTTCCCTGCAACTTCCTGGCAGCGTTTCCCACAGTGATGACAAAGCATTTAAGACAAAGTGTTAGCAGATGCTCGCTCTGAATCACCTATGTGGGCAATAGAGCACATACTGCTCTTTTCTGGGAGCTGCTCATACTGTTTTCACTTTTCAAATTATGAGAGATTGGGTGGTGACAGGCAATACACAAATACTTTCTTTTGGAAGGAGTTACATTTGCCATCCTTGTTCACAACTGTTGATGGGATTTAAACGTTACCTTAGGAATTCCTATAGAGAGCTTGCTGACATCCGTCAAACTTGGCAGTGCAAATGGCTGAAAGATGTCCTGAACTGTGGTAGAGTCTTTAGGATCATGCCCAGCAAGTGAACCTGAAACATGACATGACACATTGAAGAGCAGGAAAATGCACACTGGGTAGATGGAATTCAGCCTGCTTTTTGAACAAAGACATAGAGCATACAAAGATATATGTAGCAGTAATACCTAGCACAACAGCTGCATCATCCACACATCTGGTTAGGATTCCTGGCACATCCATGGAGTTCACTAGAGGAATGAGACCATGGCGAGAGATCAGTCCATATGTTGGCTTTAAACCTACTACACCACAGTGAGCAGCAGGATTTCTGGTAGATCCTCCTGTGTCTGACCCTAAAGCTCTACGGTTTCAAAAGGGTTACCGTTAGTAAAATGATTCAGAACATCTCCAAACAATACTTATGGCTTTAAGATGCATGAATTTAAAAATGTCTGAGTTCTTCCCAACTAAAAGTCATAACCACGCACTCTAAACATTAGCCCACTCCCTACATCTGCTATTTTTCAGCTGTTCTCAGCATTTTTCTTAGGACCTCTGAATTAGCCACTGGGAGAGATTGGTTCTCTCTACAAATAGAGGTAGATAAATAGAAATCAGGCATTCAGAATAGGGCTCTAAAGACCTAGTTCCTACTTCTCTGTTGGTCCATTCCAATTCTGTGGTCTGTGAAAGATGTCTTGTGTTTCAGTTTATGATTTTCAGATATTTGTGACCATTTATTCATTAATGAATGATGACATGAAGTATCACAATCCAGCATACAAAGCAGTGGTAACACAGTATGCTTTTTGCCCTCAATAACAAGGCAGGCTTTTCGAAGTCTAGCTAAGAGATTCTTCCTGTTTCCAAGCCAAAAAAGTATAGTAGAACACCCAATTTAGAGTAGTTCCAATGCAATTCTTTTTCTTCTCTTTAAGTTGAATTCCTTTACTGCTCTTTCACAAATGAAATCTTGTTCCAAACTGAAATTTTCACTGTAAAAATTTCAGTGGAATAGCAAAGTCACATTGAAATTGAGGTTCTCTTGGTTTCAGTGACTTTAAACTCAAAATCCACTTAAAAAATGGAAGTACTTTAATCAGAATAAAAAATAAAACCTTAAGTTTTATTCATAAAACGATGGGGTTTTTAAAAGTAGTAATCTCTGGGAGCAAAAATATTTTAACAAGTAGACAAATATAATACATGGGTAAACAAAGACATAATAACTAAAGATTATTTAAAACATCTTCCAGTTAAGAACACAACTGAGCAAGCATTCTCAAATGTAACTCTCAAAACTGCATAAAGTGTAAATTTCAGTGTAAATTTTTAAGGAACAGATTTCCTTTAACAGATGGATGAGGAAGAGAGTATAAACAATCAATTTGTTAAATAATGTGTTGCTATTCCATGCAGATAATTGTTGTAAAAAAATTTTTTTAATAAACTAAAACTCTTTAACTTTTTAAAAACAGATAAAATTCCAAGTATCTTTATAAACTGGCTTCCTGTTCTCAAACTGGGTATTTGAAAGCTTTTAGATGTCAAATCTCACGTATCCATATTATCATATACCCAGCTATAAAAACAGAGGCCAGGAGGAAGGATTTCTAAACTGTTACATGTCAACAGACACCTCATCATTTGCTGAATTAAGTTTTCAGTGTGTACATGTTTAACATACTTAAAGAGGTAGAGGATATGTCTGTTATTTGTAAGAGTATGTGGGAATAACAATAATACTGTCATTCCTTTACTGCCATTATCACTTTGCCTCATGCAGTGCAAAGTGCTCACATCAGTACACTGAATAACGTTCTAAATGAATAAGCCTTACTCTGCCTACAGGAAATCATGCTGGCTTCATGCTATGCCATGAAAAACTGAAGATGCTGAAATAAATTCTCACAAGCCAGCGCAAATAATGCTCCCATCTCAGACAAGATCAACATCTTTTCTACAATTTAATCCATAAACTGCATTATTAGAAAATTACTGAGTGAAAACCTTACAATGTATTTCAAGACATTTCATTAAAAACAATTCCAAAAAGCTTCTTACGCAAAACATGTGAAAGCTGATACAGCAGCTGCACTGCCTCCAGAGCTCCCTCCTGTTATTACCCAGTTAGAGTTTTCAGGCTCAGAATCAGATCTGGGTACAGATTTTTCCTTGTATTGTCTTGAATAACTCCAGGGATTTCTGACTGGTCCAAATGCCCCATCTGTACTCCCAGATCTAAGACAGAAGAAATAGGGACAGAAGTGACAGACAACACATTGCTTTCCAAGTTTTTCTTTATCTGGTTCCTCATCTCTTACTCTAATAAATTCAATTTCAACACAAAAAGACTGGCATATGTACAGTTTAGTGCAGACAGATAACGTGCACAAGTCGAAATATTCAAAGGGACCATCCTCTGCCACAGAACCTCAGCTTCTGTTAGTAGGTGGCAAGGGTGGCTGCCCAGGGAGGTGGTGGAGTCTCCTTCTCTGGAGATGTTCAAGACCTGCCTGGATGCCTACCTGTGTGACCTGCTGTAGGGAACCTGCTTTGGCAGGGGGGTTGGACTCGATGATCTCTGGAGGTCCCTTCAACCCCTACAATTCTGTGATTCTGTAAGGGGTGGGAAGTAGGTGGGCTTTAACATTCCTTCCAACATGAGTTATTCTGTGATTCTAAAGCCACTGGAAAGGATGCTAACAGAAAAATATAAAACAAATTTAATGTACCTAAAGGTAAAACTATCTATCTGCTATAAAACAAAAGTACTCTGGCTTCCCAAGCCTGCATTTGGAAAAAGATGAGCACTGCCTTGTGGGACACTACTCTGGAGAAGGGGGGAAAAGCCCTGCAATACCAGCAACAGGAGCTCCTCTGTAAATAACCCACCATTACTTACTCTATAGCTCTCCCCTGAGGTCACAGTCTGCTGTTTCAGAATGTTAGACTGGCTTGTTGGAATCTGGTTTCAGCCTGTGATAATCTAGATGCAGGCTGCCACCAGAAGCAGGGAGGAGCTTTCCACCTTCCTTGCAACTGCCACCTCAGGTTCCCCAACTCCATAATGTTGGTGTTATTAGCCAGATCAGCTGAGCTGGCAGTTTACACAGTTGAAAATGAACCTAATTGAGACACTGCTTTTCAGCTGGATCAGCTTCCTCATCAAGCTGATGGTGCAGCGATGTTGGTGATGGCATGAGACCATGCAAATACACAGTACAGAAAAGAGAGGCTGAGGGTGAGATAACCCTTATTAGCAGAATCCTGTGTTAGTGAGCTTAGATTACTTCTAGCCCTCCCTAATAAAAGAGTTTGGTTGCTTTTTCTTCTCCTCTGCTTTTTCCCTGCTTTCCCCCTGAGGAATGTCTCTGACATGGAAATGACTTTATCCAAAATGATCCAATCAAAGTATTTTAACCCAACCAAACCTATGCCTTTTGCTTAGCAAAAATAAAAACAAAGCCAAAACACAACACTTAATTTTTCTCATTGGTAGCTGAAGTGCTGGACAGAATCGTTAAGGTTGGAAAAGACCTTCAAGATCATCTAGTCCAACCATCAACCATTACCACTAAACCATATCTTTCAGTATCCAGCAGATCTGGTGACAGAGGCTCCTGTCTCTGCTCAGGGCTGCCCCAGATTACTGCATGCTGCTGCCTTCACTGATTTGTCAGAGAACAAATTTGTGACAGTATTTTCCAATTTCTTTTTCCTAGCAGAATTCACCAATATTAGGCAACAGTTGCACAGGCAATTCAAAGTGCTGCTCTAAATTAGCCCGTTCACAACAAATCAGAGTACTCATACATGTTAATCCAGTGGTTGGGACAGATGGTAACTGTCTCAAGGCCATAACAATAATTAGTTAAGGGCAGAAACCACCAGTAAGAAAGGAGAAAAAAAAAGTCAGCAAATAGCCGGTGTGGTAACCAGATCTATTTGCTACTGGATATGCAAGTCTGTTTGCCTTCTGCTTTCTGCAAAGGCTATGCTACTCTTCCCCCTGAAACACAGCCATAGTTGAACTCTATGTTCATAAAAAAACTGACATGTAGATAACTTACACAACAGTAAAAATGTTCATGCAATATTTGAGAAATTCAGGCAACTCTAAATTCTCTTTGCAGATTAGCGTTCGTTATTTTCTAACATGACAGAAAGAAGAGTTTAAGGATTATGCATAGAACAGATGGTGTGTAATCTGTTTAATGTAGAATCACATGTTAAAAATAATAAACATCACTCACCCCATTGCAAATTCATCTAGGTTTGTTTTTCCTAAAAGCACAGCTCCCTGATCCAGTAACTTCTGAACCACTGTAGCATTGTAAGGAGAAATATAACCTGAAAGCAATCAAAACAGTTAAGGGAGTGGTTGATGAGATATGGTTGATTTCTAAAAGTAGCTACTCTTCTGAACACTTAAAATTTGTCACTATTTGTGCATAAAAGTTACCACTGCACAGTGCCCAAATTTTGCTTCAACAGACAATATGGGTAATTCTCAAGATTTAGCAAAAGCAAACTAAATACTGTTTTGTCTGTAATGCTTTTTTTTTTCCCTCCACAATTTACAATACAGTAACTCTGGATTATACATTTCCAGAACTAAGCCTTCAGACAAACAAGTTACCACAGCAGTAGCAAATTATGGCATTTGGGCAATTTGCAGACGAGTGCTAAGCTATCTCAAATTATTCCCCTTACGATGAGATGGGGGAGCATATTGTTAATCACAAGCTGAAATACAAACTGGCTCTCCTGTGACCAACTGTGTGCACCTTCAGCCACTTTGACCTCATACAAACAGTGAGTTCTGTGCCACTTCCACGAGATCCTGGGTTGTAACTAACTTCCTCTGTGAATAATGACAGTGATTTCTCCAGCTCCATTCTCAGCTGGAACAAGGATAGCATCACTCCTGAAACTCTCTACCATTAATCTGCAATAAAGCACAGTGGGTCTGAGAACGTGCTTAAGGAAAAACATCTCAGGTAATGGAACACATTCTTTAAATTGCAATACCGTGTTTTGTTTCTTCTGTTAAGGTAATAGGATTACCTCAGGTAAATCAGCAGAAGTTTATCTTTCTCAAGACTTCAAAGTTTCACTTTATGCAGAATGAAGAAGAAAATAAGAAATGTTTACTACTTTCACTTTCACTATGGAAACATTAGAGTGTCTTGAAAATTTTCCTGGAGTGTTAATAGAAACAATAAGCTTGGGAAATTTTAAAGAATTAAAAAGTCATACAAACCTGTTCTGTAAAGCAGAAATGCAGAGAATTGTTAATATCTACTCTTCCTACAGCAATATGAAAGCACTACATAATGCAACGGTTATAAACAGAACACAAAAGGACTATTTGCATTTTGCTGGACACAACAGCAAACACTACTGACTGCTCTCCTCTGTAAATCTAACTGTAACACGTGAACTACAGAATGATTCCATTTAGATAGGCCAGAATAACCACTGCATTGTTAATGGCAGCGTAGATACACAAATAAAGGAGAAAATGCACTTGCATAAGAAAAAGATACACCTGTAATACTAGATGATCTTGACAGAGGAAATCAGATAAACACATTTCCTCAAATCAGCTCAGCTCATTTTTGAAAACGTTTGGATCTCTGGAAGACTTCACTCCACTAAGCCTCTGAGGAGAAAAGACAGAGCTCCAATTTCACCTTAAAAGCTCTACTGCACCTCTCATACTGTACCTTTTAGCATGTTTGATGCACATGTTGTCTCAATGCCAGCTGTATTAAAGTTGTCCTTCACTGCAATGGGAACTCCGTCCAGCTCACTCAGTGGCTGACCTGCATTAGGAATTATTGCAAAGACCACACGGACTGTATCAGTGTGCTACGTACAGTCAATTACAATTTAGTTTACGTGTCACTTCGGGTGCTTTTTGCAAGTACAAGAACTAACCATTTAGCATTTGATGGGTGTCTGTTACATTCTCAAGACCCACTGCCTAGAACTCCTATAAGCCCTATGCCCAGAGCAGTCCCTGCAAGGCACAGTGGCTCCTAAGGCAGCAGGCAGCTGCTTTCAGTCAAGTCAGCTGCCCCAGCAGAGTCCTTGTTGCTTCCAATGAGACGACATCCTGCTTATCTCAGCCCTGGGTGCTGTGTGCACCCACTCCATCCCAGCAGCCAGCACATCTGCCCACCTGACACACACAGCATACAATAAAAGCACTCTTTCACCACGAGCGCCACCCTTATAAACAGGCTGCCGTACCTCTTCGGTATCTTTTCTCCGACTCCTCAGCCTGCTTTAATGCAGTTTCTTCCGCTACCGTAATGTAGGCGTTGAGAAACTGGGTGCTTCTGATGAGAGCGAGGCACCTCTGGCAGAGCTCTGTGGGGGTGACCTGTCCTTCCTTTAGTGCTGCTGAGATCTGAAAGAGGCCACAGCGGTCAGCGGCACGAAGCTGCTACCAGACTCCAACCCAGCACATCTCGGCAATAAAACGCGCCCCTGCGAGGACGCGGTCGGGCCCTGGCGAGCCGCGGTCACCTTGAGCCCGCCCCGCCGGCCGAGCGCAGCACCCGCACCGCACTGCTCGGCCCGGGGCCGCTCACCTGACGCAGAGAAACGCGCAGCATGGCGGCTCGCTCCCCACGGCCTCACACCTCTACGACCCCTATCCCGGCCCGTCCCGGCGCTGCGCCGAGCGCCTGGGCGCCGCCATCTTGCCGCAACACCGAGCGACGCCATTGGCGGAACGGCCAAGACGGCGGCCGCCCATTGGGCCGGGGCACCGAAGGGGCGCTTAGGATCTGAGAGACTCCCGGCGGGGTCAGAGACCGGGACGCGGTGGCGGCGGTGCCCGCTGCCGGCCATGCTGGCACGGAGAGCGCTGCGCTGGGCGGCGCGGCGGGGCGGGCAGCGGCCGCCGGTGCGCGGCCTCCGCGTCTCTCCGCGGGCGCGGTCCGCCATGCCCTCGTGGGTCATCGACCGGTACGGCCGCAACGAGGTGCTGCGCTTCACTCAGGACATGGTGTTCCCTGTCATTCAGTACCCCAACGAGGTCATTGTTAAGGTGCACGCCGCCGGCTTGAACCCCATAGACCTTAGCATGAGAAGTAAGTGGCGGGGCACGAGCGGCCCCAACCGCGCTTCTGAGAGGCGGGGGTGTGAGATGGCGGGCTGTGATTAGGTGTGCCGTATCCCATAATCACACACACGCTTGTTCCTTTGGATTCCTACCGGTGTGATGCTGGAAGTGGAGCAGGTGCAGCAGAACTCTCAGGATGTCTGTCAGTGTTGCTGCTTAGTGAACTTTTTATAATAAAGAGCCGTTTTATGTGTTTTAAGTAAATCACAACAGCAATCTTAAATTGTTCCATGGTGATTTATATTCTTACATCTCCTGCATGCTCTTTGTTGGGGGTGGGTGAGAAAACCGTAATTAAGATTTCCTTATTCCTTGTAAAATCTCCAAGTACTGTAGGCTTTGTGCATATTTGAACTGTAACAGAAATGCAGAACGTGCTGAAAATGGGGCATTATATTCAGCCAATTCTTTCTAAATGGAATTGTCCAGTTAATGGATTAAATCCCACCAAGGTACGTAATGGCTAATTTCATATTTTCTAGGTGGTTACGGTGCAACTGCGTTAAATATGAAGCGGGATCCCCTGAAAATCAAGAGCTTGGACACTGAATTCCCACTAACGCTTGGTCGAGATGTCTCAGGTGTTATCATGGAATGCGGACTAAGTGTGTCTTATTTCAAACCTGGAGATGAGGTGATACCACTAATATGATTTTTTTTTCCCCCTAAAAACACATAGTTGAACTATGTTAAACCATGTTAACTATGTTAAACCATAGTTAAACGTGGTTAAACCATGAGCTATTCAGCTGCCTTTCCCTAGTAAGAAAATTCTTATGTTGTTGCACTCTGAATCTGGACTGTCTTGCAGTACCTTAGAACACTGTCTTCGCTACATTTTTTCTCTGACAAACACCTTTCCCTAACTTGTGTCTGCAAGTTCATTTCTCTTTTGATTTTTAATTTTTGGCAAATTGAAATAGGATTCCTTTACTGAATGTAACTTTTCCACATGGGTGCGATTTTGTGCAGAGAAATTGGTAGTTGTTTTCTGTTTGTTTTTAGGTATGGGGAGCAATTCCTCCGTGGAAACAAGGCACTCTGTCAGAGTTTGTGGTAGCTAGTGCAAATGAGGTAAACCTGCAAAAATGTGGATAACAGATGAAAAACAAAATTGTAAATACTGATGTTTTCCTTTTTGTTTTCCTTTGATGTCTGAATAGCTGTCTGTTTCTTGATATTTGACTTCATCTACAATCCTGCTAGACATAACTGAAAATGTGCAATAGACAATTTGCAATTCAGTAAAGCTGATTTAAATATTTCAGTATCACATAGGATCCACTGTGTGATTTAAATGACTGATTTTGTTTCAGGTATCTTTTAAGCCAAAATGTCTCAGTCACGTAGAAGCTGCCTCCTTACCGTATGTAGGTCTCACAGCGTGGTCTGCAATTAACAAAGTTGGAGGACTGAACCAAAGTAATTGCAGCGGGAAAAGGTAAGTAACTTAGTTACTTATCTAATGCTGGTGCTAAAATGTAGTGTTCCTTTTTTATGCTGATCAGCAGCTTGTAAGACATGTCTAGCAGTGCTGAAGGCTGTTATGCCATGGCATTCACAAAGATCAGCTGGCCTGAAGTAGCCAGGTTCAGTCTGTGCAGCTGCTAAGGAAGAGGCTATTTCAGAGTGAGATTCAGCCAAACTGATGTTTTAAGGCTGCTTGCTGGCACTGCCTCTCTTCCTTTAAATAGCGACTATATAGAAACAGTCTAATGTACATGTATTCTGTGTGACTGTATTGATAATTTAAGGATGGTACCTTTAGGAATTTATTGGGACTGCCTTTCTGCTTGCAAGGCAGCTGCCCAAATATAATATTCTCTCTCTTAAAAACCTCGTCAGCTTGCAAAAGGTCTTCTCAGCCACAGAGGTGTGTGTTTCACTAAGATTCACTCCTGGATGCAGGAGCAATTTGGGGCAGGCTGGTTTCCCAGCTTTTTGGAAAAAAAGTGTCTGGGTCTCATTTGACCAGTAAGACCGAATTCATTTAATAAGGCCAGGAAGGTAGAAGAGGAGGGGAAAATAGGCAGGACTAGCAGCCAAAAAGAAAACAATTGGCTTTGTCAGCTTGTTAGTCTGACAATGGCAGGTGAAGCTCAGGAGAGGATAAATACTTTGAAAGACTGGAGCAGATTTTTTTGCCTCATAATGGAGATGTGTAAATAGGTAGCAAAATAATCACTAAAACTACCATGCTGTCTCAAAAATTTGTCATGAAAGAATAATTGGACAATAGGAATCTGGGTACCTGACCTCTTCCTGCCTGGGGTGTGAACTGTTGTAATGCAACACATAGCAAAGGGGACCAGATTTACTGAAATTCTTCACCCGCCTCTTTAGAAAGTAATTGAGACATGGGTTTTTCATATGTCATGGTAAATTTCATCACAAAAATACAAATTAGCTGTTTGCTGTAAATGTAATGTTCTGGGAAAACAAATTGCAAAATCTGAAATAATTTCAGAGACATCTTTGAAATTAACTTCCAGCTAGTGATAACATACTGAATGTACCATCTTCTTTTTTTCTTTCTTAAGTATTTAGATTATTGTTTGTTATCTTTCATATGTAAATAGAATTAACCTAGAAATCTGTTGACAGGCTAACCATATTTAAAGTATCTTGCCAACCTTCAGGTAAGTGTTTAGATTGTTAAAAGTGAAATGCAAACTGCAGTTCCATCACATCTTCACATATAACATTTACTTTAAGGTTCCTAACAAGTATGTAATTGCTGTCACTGAAAAAATAAAAATTCAAAGCAGTAATCTTGGGAGGCAACAATTTACCCCATGTTTCTTAATTTCTCATAATAATTGAATGTGTTAGCAAGAAGCTGCCTGCATGAGTAATTTTACATTGGCCTTTTTGTCTCCTGTAGGTGTGTGTAAATAGCTATGTAGGATGGTGTGTGAAAGTGTGTCTTATTTTGAAAGAGTACCTGTATTCCTTGAGGAAAACTCCTTCATTGGTACTTTATTGCAGGATTAAGACATCTTGGAAACAGCAAGTGTTTCTATTGGTGTGTTCTGTTTTCTTTGCCTCTCTAAGGTGGAAGGGTGGACTAACCACAAGTACTTGCTGTCAGTCCCACAGTGCGTACCCTGCACTCTGATCTGACAGGACAATCTGCTGCACTTTCCCCAACTTTATTTTTACGAGTTACCTGAAGTGTGCACGTGTTGTTTGTGGTGACTACTGTTTCACTGCAGCTTTGGTTGTTTTGCCACAGCTTTTATCCTAAATCATTGTAATTTACATCAGTGTTCTTGTACAAGGTAAAAGTGAATGTGCTCATTGTCCAGAATGTCGAGAATGACTCTGTGGTTTTCAAGTTCTCTCTGGATAATAAGCCAATGAACTCCTTGTGGGTGAGGGTCTTGCTTCAGTAGAAAGGGAATATGGTTGTTCAACAAAAGCTGTTAACCCTTCCTTGCTGTATTCACAAAAAGCGTGTTAAAACATAGCCATTTGAGAAGACCTTGAAAGCTTTTATGTTGATAAGGAATAAGGGCCTTCATATAAATGCAGAGTAAACATTTTGTGTGTTAGAGTTTACTGGGAGGAGTTACACTAGGATTATGGTACAGGGGATTGTTGAAATTACACTTCTGGTTTACATGTTTGCAATGAAAGTTGAAATGATATGGTGACCCAGGATTTTTTTTTTTCAAAGAGTGTGTTATTTCATCATTTGTCTGATGAGAATTTCAGAGTATAGTTTGCAATAATTCTTGATAGGGTACACTCTTCTTGATGCAAGAATAAATGTTTAGGGACATCTTGTTGGCATAATCAAATGAAATTTGGTTTTATTTTTTAACAGCTCTTACACTGTCAAACGCTTTCCCACACCCTTGAGTTACACCAAGCAGTGTGCCCTGTCTCCAGCACTGTACAAAACACTGAGCTGCTGAGCTGTGGCACACATACCTCCTGATTATACAAGGGCTTCTGTGTTGAAAGCATGCATGCAGGTGTGTGATGGCCACGGCAGCATGCACACAGCCCAGGGCAAGTGCTGTGCAGTGTGTGTGAGGGTGGTGACCTGCTCTGTGGTGTGACTTAGTTTGTGGTGTCACTTGGCCTGGAGAGTGACACATTACTCAGTTAAGCTGAGATGCCTTGAGAGCATAGGCATAGTTTGTAAAGCAAAGAGGTGTTCAAGGCCAGGTTGGATGGGGCCCTGGGCTGCCTGGTCTAGTATTAAATGGGGAGATTGGTGGCCCTGCCTGTAGCAGGGGGGTTGGGGATTCACGATCCTTGAGGTCCCTTCCAACCCTGGCCACTGTGTGATTTTGTGAAAGAGCTTTCTTAAGGTCAGTGTGTACGAAGTTCTAATAATTAAAAGTTTTGGTAGGAAATAGCCCAGGTAACATAACAAACAAAATAAATCTGGACCTTACTTCTACTTTGGGAATAGTGAGCATGTTTATTGAAGCCCTAGCCAAGCAGCTTCCCACAGCTGATCATGTTGTATCAGTCCTCAAGCAAAACGTACATTTTGAAATTAGAGCTTTCTTCAAATTCTGCAGTGGAGGAAATGCCCTTTAGGCAAGGAGTAAAATTGGAGACACAGTTTGACAG